TCAATCAAAATATTAATCACTTAATTCATAGTCTCTTCGGTTGAAGTTTACATAACTTTTCAAAACTTCGACTATATTTAAGTTTTTAATGTCATATAATTTGTTACTTGAAACCCATTTTCTAATTGAGACCTTTAAGTATATATTAATGCCTTTTTGTATACATAAATATCTGTGTTATTAATCAAATTAATGTATTATATTATTATTAAAAAGTTATCTAAGATAATGAGTTATTTAAGTTACTGTAAGTTAAGTGAAGTGTTAAAAGTCTAGAGTTGAAATGTAAAGAGCATTAACGTAAATTGAAACAAAAATTTCTAGTATTCAATACTTTAAATGAATAAAATATTCATTCAATTAATCACTTTTGCCTTCAAATCATCATTAAGTTAAGAGACGATAAAGAAAATGAGTCTCAATTTAATGGCAGTAATGGGTAACCATTACTAATGGGTTTATTAACATTCAACACAATTATATTTATATTAATAAAAGCTCAACTCTCCATCTAATTCCTCGCATATGTCTGTCTATAAATCTCTATCAATGATCACAACTAGGAATCAACGGTTATTTCGGTTAATATTATATGAATATAAGATTTGCCACTTCTCTACTCGACCTAAACTTCACTCTTTCCACACATACAGAAACCCCTTCTCTAGATATGTATTGAATTTCGATACATTTCTTACAGTGCGTTCAAAGTGTCTTCAATTTCAGACAAATTTAAAAAACAAAACATTTAAACATATCATATATTAATATCATTTATAGTTTTTTATCATTAATAACTTCAATGAAGTGAAGAATTGAAGTGATTTATGATTTTCACTTTATTAAACTTATACTGAAAGAGAGATGACTTTTGGCTTTGGGATCTTCATTAAAATGCAATCCATTTGTTGGTTGAATGCAAGAACTAAATCAACCATTTATTATCATTTCATTAATTTTGTGTCTCAACGCCTATCATGTGAATCGGCACTCAATTGATTCACAAAAGGCATACTTTTTTACGGGAGAGAATTCATGACAATTAAAATGATTGCTCTTTACTCTCACATCAATGAGTTGTGGCACTAAAGAGACCACACTTTCTATGGTAGCGGAACTACTTCTCGGCCGACCCATCGATGGTTTGTATTCAAAAAGTATAACGCAAACCATTATTGTGACGATAAGTCGGTTAATAAATGGCGATAAAATGCTCAAAGATGTCGATTTGGATGATATCTTCATTTTTGCTCAAATATTTCTAATAAATCAATAAATAAGATATTCGGAGAGTTATGATAGGAATTGAGTGGAAATAAAAATATTATATTAAAAGCGGAGACGACTTAATCGTAAAGAGATATTACTTTTTTAAAAACACGTGAAGAATGAAAACAGAATTTTGTATTTAAACGAGTGATTGAAAAAAGTTTTTGAAGAGTAGTTATGAGATGTGAAACTCGTTTCTCGGTTTTTGGTTGTGACAACTCGTGAGCGTTGAGTATGACTGCACTGAAAAGCACTGTTAGTTCAAAGTCTAGGAAAATGTTGGGATCATTGTTGAGCTGTTGGATGTAGTGAATCAAGAATTGGTGTATTCATTCAATTTATGGCATTCACGGTATGGTTGTGTTGAGTAAAGTAGAGGCTGTGTAATGAAAAGGCGATGAAAAGGCGATGCGATGATGAAATGTCTGAGAGAGCGGGGCTGACGTCAATTTGGCAGCGCCTGGACAGCCAATCCCATGCCTATCGCTGCGAACACATACCACCACTTCTCTATCACATTGGCTCCGATACTAGTCTTTTCTCTAATGAACTCCAATCTCCTCTTACTATGAGATAACAAAAAAGTGAATATTTCTTTCGATTAGCAAAAAAACTTTTGGCTCATTTCCAACAGCTCTTGAATTATACAAATTATTAATACCCAATACAAGAGAATACGTGAATTGGTTTTCATTAAATTTCTCATTATTAGTCGTTTTAAGCATTTATTATATGGGAATCTCGTTTCGGATAAAGAAATCTATTGATTGTCTAAAAGAAAAGAAAGAGAAACTGTAGTCGACATCACATTCTTGCCAATCAATCAAAATATTAATCACTTAATTCATAGTCTCTTCGGTTGAAGTTTACATAACTTTTCAAAACTTCGACTATATTTAAGTTTTTAATGTCATATAATTTGTTACTTGAAACCCATTTTCTAATTAAGGCCTTTAAGTATATATTAATGCCTTTTTTGTATACATAAATATCTGTGTTATTAATCAAATTAATGTATTATATTATTATTAAAAAGTTATCTAAGATAATAAGTTATTTAAGTTACTGTAAGTTAAGTGAAGTGTTAAAAGTCTAGAGTTGAAATGTGAAGAGCATTAACGTAAATTGAAACAAAAATTTCTAGTATTCAATACTTTAAATGAATAAAATATTCATTCAATTAATCACTTTTGCCTTCAAATCATCATTAACTGTAATAGAGTAAATCAAAATTGAGTTTTTCAAAATTGAGCCCTCCCTTTGCTATGCATTACACTTGTTTTCATTTGTACAGCCAATGCTATACGCAATTTTGAAAAACTCAATTTTGATTTACTCTAAAAGAGTAAGTTAAGAGACGATAAAGAAAATGAGTCTCAATTTAATGGCAGTAATGGGTAACCATTACTAATGGGTTTATTAACATTCAACACAATTATATTTATATTAATATAAACTCAACTCTCCATCTAATTCCTCGCATATGTCTGCCTATAAATCTCTATCAATAATCACAACTAGGAATCAACGGTTATTTCGGTTAATATTATATGAATATAAGATTTGCCACTTCTCTACTCGACCTAAACTTCACTCTTTCCACACATACATAAACCCCTTCTCTAGATATGTATTGAATTTCGATACATTTCTTACAGTGCGTTCAAAGTGTCTTCAATTTCAGACAAATCTAAAAAAACAAAACATTTAAACATATCATATATTCATATCATTTATAGTTTTTTATCATTAATAACCTCAATGAAGTGAAGAATTGAAGTGATTTATGATTTTCACTTCATTAAACTTCTACTGAAAGAGAGATCACTTTTGGCTTTGGGATCTTCATTAAAATGCAATCCATTTGTTGGTTGAATGCAAGAACTAAATCAACCATTTATTATCATTTCATTAATTTTGTGTCTCAACGCCTATCATGTGTATCGGCACTCAATTGATTCACAAAAGGCATACTTTTTTACGGGAGAGAATTCATGACAATTAAAATGATTGCTCTTTACTCTCACATCAATGAGTTGTGGCACTAAAGAGACCACACTTTCTATGGTTATCATAAGGAAATCCATGGGAAGACCGGAGACATATCGTAAAGGCATCATTTCTTTGGTACTCAGACTTTGAGTCTCTCTTCCCTTATCTAATCTACGAGTAAATGGAAACTCAATTCTGGCTCTCATTCCCATTATTTAGTATTACATACCATTCAAACAAACTGTTCATTCAGTGATAGCACAATACAGACTAATATGAGTCGATAAATCTTATGATTTATCAAATCATATAATTATTTAATCGCTTTTTAATGGGAATGATATAAAACACATTTTCATTGTACTTCTGATAACCAGCCACTTTTCTAACAGATAACTACTCTCTCTCTCTCTCTCTCTCTCTCTCTCTCTCTC